GGAATTGACAACTAAGCCCGCGGCCAACTGGCATTGGAATTGACAACTAAGCCCTAAGCCCGCCGCCAACTGGCACTGGAATTGACAACTAAGCCAGACTTGAGGCTGATGAATTACAGGATTAGGGTGAAATGAGAAGATTTGCTACTGGGCCTTTTTATAAGCATCCAGTGCAGCAGCGATACTACTGTCTTCCCCCAAACACAATGGACCCTCCTTGTCTGGGTGCGTTGTGTTCGGGGGAAGACGGTAGGCTGCATTCCGTCTAGAGGTATCTGTTCCAGTGTGTGAATTCATCTGTGTTTTGGATAGCATCATAGCACCAAGCTGATGGTGAAACTCAGAGCTGAAGCATGATAGGAGTTGCCGTTTTTAACGTTGCGATTGCGCCAACTCCTTTTTTTTACACCAGCTGGGTCGGCCCTGCCCGTGTTTAGACACGGCCTGCATCCATCACTTTTCAGTGCTTGCAAGCCACCTCGGCTGGCCGTCGGAGCCGATAAAAGGAACTGAAGTAGGAGTTTTGCATCTGGGCAAAGGCTCGTGAGTGTCTGATGGAGCGGGGTGAGAAGATGATGACAATGTTCCATCTTCCTGAGGGGGTAGTTATGGAGGCTATGAGCTATTCTCAGCAACAGAGGCATCAGCAACTGCACTGCACCAGGACACGAGCACAAGGAATGGCACATTTATCCAACACGGGATGAAGTGACGGTCATGGCTGGGATGATAGGGATGACGATGTTCCATCTTCCTCAAGGGTTAGTTATGGAGGCCAGACCTATTCTTGGCAGCAGAGGCATCGGCAGCTGCGGCAGTGACAGGCAGCAGCAGGATGTGAGCACTGGGTAGCAATAGCACCTGCACTGCAGCAGGACACGATCACCAGGAACGGCACCTTTATTTAACACGGGATGAACTGATGGTCATGGATGGGATGGTAGGGATAGCGATGTTGCATCTTTCTGATGGGTTAGCTATGGAGGCCATGAGCCATTCTTGGCAGCAGAGGCATCGGCAGCTGCAGCAGTGACAGGCAGCAGCAGGTCGCGAGCACTAGGTAGCAATCGCACCTTGTCCAACATGGACGAACTAATGGTCATGGCTGGGCCAGAAGGCTATGCAGTCGTTCCCCTTGCTGAGGTACAGCGGTGCAGCTAGTCTCTTTTGCGAATATGGATGCTATGCAGTCATTCCCCTTCCTGAGGTACAGCGGTGCAGCTAGTTTCTTTTGCGAATATGGATGAGTGACATGCAGACACATCACACATGCTGTAGCTCTGAGTCCAACTTCTCCATCTTTCATTTTGGCGGGTTGCCGAGGGCCAGCATTTTCCGTGTTTGCGTGGCATTTGTCACTGATCTGTTGCTTGACATGCTCTCTCTCTCCATCACACATGAGAGAAAGACAGAGACAAAGCTTCCCTTCCTCCACCTTGTCCTGACCCTGTTCCACCTCCTGCTCATCCTGATCACCTTCCTCCTCGCTCTCCTCCACTCCGTGTTCCTTTATCTCCTCCTCGTCTCTGTACTGTCTCATGTGCACCATGTGGCATGCACCATTTTTGTTTTTTTGAAAAAGATAACAACACTGCCCAGCTGTACATTCTTTTGGGGAAATGTAGCTGCTTGTTTTTGTTTTTGGTCAGAAAAAGGGGTGGCACATCTGTTAGACGATGCCGGAAGTGTCTTTTTTCCACACGAGACTTCTGTTCTCAAATTCTCATTCAACTCATCTAAGGATGTTTCCATCATCTTCCAGTGGGCCATGCCAGCCAAACTCTCCACCTAAAAATACCTTTTGCTTGGATTGAACAGGCTCTGAGGGCCTGCATCATGGATTGATAAGCTGGGGCAAAGCCCTGGCTTCACAGACACACACAGGAGGAGAGNGAGAGAGAGAGAGAGAGAGAGAGAGAGAGAGAGAGAGAGAGAGAGAGAGAGAGAGAGAGAGAGAGAGAGAGAGAGAGAGAGAGAGAGAGGTTGTGGGGGATCCAGTGGAAGTGATTGGTAATGAGGGTGACTGGACTGTTGCTGATTGCCTCCTTTGTTGTTGTAATGATGTATCCTGGCTGCAAAGTTGCAGAAACAAAGAAAGATTTTAGCTGGTCACTCAAATAATTAGATGAATTGGCCATGGTGGTTTTACGCAAGTGGGGAACGGCAGAACGTAGGAGAGGAGACAAGAATAGACGAACAGGAGCACATCGGGCTTCATGAGGAGAGAGTTTCTCTATTAGATGGAGAGGTTTATATGTATGAATGTACAGAGCTAATGGAGGAACAGATAGAGCATCCTTGACCTGCAGTGATCACATTTGCTTGAAGAAACGAACTGTAGGTGACACACCTGGAGCGCACCTGCAGATGCAGTCTGCGGTGTGGAAAAGGGGTTATGTACAACGTACATGAATGATGCCTCCTTGGCGATTTAGATCGGGTGTGGATTGGATCAGAGAACGGAGAGAGCTGCGGGCAGGAGCATTCCATCAGTCTCGCTTTGTGGGTTGGAGTGTTTGTTGTGCTGTAGCGATGTATCTCGGCCGCAAAGATGGAAAAACAAAGAAAGATTGTAGCTAGTAAGTAGTAGTAACTCAAATAATTTAATAAAATGAATTGGCGATGGTTTATTTTATGTGAGTGGGGAGCGGCAGAATGTAGGGAAAGAGACGTGAATAAACAAACAGGAGCACCGTGTATGTGTGGGCGATGGAAGCGGTGCATACAGTGGAACAGACACCAAGTGTGTGTGCGCTCTCGTGCGTGTGTTTGTTTGTGTTCAACTCTATCCCGCATACGACTCTGTTCTGACGAGAAAGGTTATATTCATTCATACGGCCCATAGAAAAACCCACTACTTCGACCACATCCTTGGCAGCGTTCCAGGCAAAATCACCCCCGCCTTTACTCTGTATCCCAGGTCTATGTAGGAGATACACAGGCTGGCAGGAGCCGCAGGACCGTTCCCAAAGCTCCCCACTCATATGCCGTATAAAGAACAGGGACAAACAACAACCACCAGTACTTCCTAAAGTCGTGGCCGTATGTATACAAACCACAATTTTAGGAAACGTACGGATCACTACAGGGGCGCCCAAATTCATCCGACTTCGTTTCTACTCTATTTTTTTCCGCGGCCGATAGCTGGGCCAAGCACTGGTGGTTTAAGCAATACGGCAAGAAGGAAAAGAACAGGAGTGATGATGGACAGTTACGATCTGACTTGCATCGGCTCGTCAGGAGGATGAATCCCCTTCCAATGTTTTTGTCCTCACCAAGTTTCAGACCCTGTTGTGGGTGGGCAAGCATGGGAAAGCATTCAGTGTAAGATAGACAAGGCAAAGGAACAAGGCAAACCAAGGGAACAGGGCAATTAAGGCAAGCTGGCAACTAGGCAAGCAGCGTGTCAGCGATCAGCAGGGCAAGGCACAAAAGCAGCAAGGCAAGGCATGGCATGGCAAGCAGAATATTGACAAGGCAACAAGGCGAGGCACGGCAAGCAGCATGTGAACAAGGCAGCTAGGCAAAGCTCGACAAGCGTTGTTCACATGAACAGACACCAAGGTAAGCAGCAAGTCGATGCATAAGAAACAGCAAGGCGAGGCATGAGAAAGTGGCATGTCAATTTTCTGGCTGTGGCACATGTAGTTCACCTCTTTGAAATTGCAGCAGATATGAAGGTAAAATGGGGTACCAATACTGAAGGTTGGTGGCGATACCCGGAGGCTGAGCCGTCTCCATCTGACCCTCCAGCCACCTCGAAGCCGAAGGAGGCAGATATCCGGGAGGAGGGGATCAACCTCACTGCTATTGGGCCTCCAATGAACCGCGGGAAGAACAGCTGAACTTAGCCATCCAATGCATGGCCACATGGAAAGGTGCCCACGCTTTGCAGAGTTGGTAGAGCCTTGGTCATCGACAACGCCATATTCGCGGCAATCTGGTACAAAACAGCCTTATGGTCGCTGCACTGCAAGCAGCTTACAAGCTGCAACAGGCAACCTCAGCCTACCTGTGGAAACCGTAAGATCACTATATGGCAGTACACCATCAAAAACGGCTACAGAGCTTCCTGAAACCTGCCGCACACGAGGGAAAGAATCATTGAGAGATGGGAGAAAGAGTAGTACCCTCTGAAAAGGGCTGAATTTCAACATTTCTCGTGGGCATCTTTCACTCGTCAGACGAGCCACAAAGCCCTTCACTGGGAGATATTCATAGTTGTTTCCCAGCACCAGACTGGCTGGTCTCAAGAACAGATCTAGAACAAACAGGTTTACTATCCCCACTTTGTGCCTACTGTGACTTTCATCACCTAAGGAAAAGGCAAAAAATATAAACTTCCATCACCTAAGGAAAAGGCAAAATATCAAACACTGCCTCCTAGATTGCCCCATGGTACTGTAGCTGCAGAGGTGGGGGGATGCAGTGGGCCACTACCTCAAAGGAATCCACCTTCCTGGAGGATTGAAACTATCCTGCTGAGGGAATTGACGCAAGTGTGTAGCCAATGGCATGCTCTTTGAGGACGCTAGATGACGGTCCTGATGGCTGCCTGGAGAACCAGATGTTCATTTGAAAGAAAACAGCATAACTGCTGTTTTCCACAGGGCACAGCAACATTGCTCGATACCATCACAAGGAAAACCCAGAGAAGTAAATGACGACCAAAAGAAAGCTGAAATGATCAACACCTGTAGAACAAA